CAAGGGAGCAGAGCTAGGGCCCCTGGATAGAACTTTCCAATGGGCAAGGTTCAGCTTTATACAAGAAAGTGTGTCAACAGTCAGTGTTTAATCTTTTCAACAAAAACATTGAGTATCTCTCTGCAAGGCATTAGCCAGGTACACAGGAAGAGTACATAGATGAGTGAGACTTGGTGCCCACCATCCAGAAACTCACTGGCTAATAACAGAGGCTGATATGAGAGCAGATCGTTCCAATATAATGCAGCATCTTCTGGGACAGCAGTCTTTCTGTCCACACTGTCTAATACAATGGCCACTAGCCATGTGCGGCCACAAAGCCCTTAAAATGTGGCTAATCTGAGTACTAGTCTGTCCACTCCTTGGAGATAGCAGATGTTAATCTCTTTCCTATGTATCCTTTCAGAGCTATTTGTAATGCTTTAAAAAGCAAGTACAAATACATATATATAACAGGAAAAACTGTGAATGTTTTAGAAAGAAGTATAAATGGAGTCCTTTGTGATCTCTGGGCAGGAAAGAGCTTTTTAGACAAGCCACCAAAAAAGCACAAGTTATAAAAGATTGATAAAAAATTTGGCACTAAGACTAAAAACTTGTTCTTGTAAAAAGATACCATAAAACAAAATGAAAAGATGAGCCTCATATTTGTAACACAGATAACTGACAAAAAAAAAAAAAAGATTACTATACAGAAATAACCACAAATCAGTAAGAAAAATGGCCCAAGTAATTCACAGAAGAATCCTGAGGGTCCAATAAACTTAAGAAAAGATGTTTTATCCTCACCGATAATCAGGGCAATGCAAATTAAAACCCTAATTTGATGAGTGTGTTTTAGATGAGTGTGTTTTACTCATCAGATGGACAAAAGTTAAACATCTCACGATGCCAAGTGTTGGAGAAGATGTGGGCAGCCAGGATCTCTTAGGCCCATCTGGTGAGAATGTAAATTGATACAGTCATTTTGAAGAATAATCTGGGAACAAATGGCAAAGTTGTACATAACTGTATGAGGCAGCCCTGGCAACTAAAGATGTGTAGACCCAACCCCCCAATTCAGGGGTTCCACCCCTAAACATGTGAGCTGAACCCACTCCACATACGTGTACAAGGAAGGCTGTACAAGAATGTTGCGGCAACACTGTTTTCAGTAGCAAAGAAAAAACAGAACCTCGGTGCATGTCCATCAACTGGATACTAAGATGGAGTACAAAGTCTACAGCCATGGGAAATAATGAAAGGAGAGCACTTATATCAACAGATTTGTCTCACAATGTGAAGTGAAACAAGTTGCAGGAGAACACCAACAAAATCATACCTTTATATAAGGCCTTAAAACACACAAAATGATACTATAGACCACTTAGGGATAAAAACTCATTTGGTGAAAGTAAATGCATGAAAATAGTAAACACCAAATTCAAGATGATGGTTAAAGGGACAAGGCAAGGGAATGCCAGGCTCTCACTACAGTGAGAATATTTTTTAAGGTGGACAGTGGCATGATGCAGTTCATTATACCTTTACCTTTATCCTAATTAGTTCATAACTTACAAAGATTTCTCTTTCCTCCAATTACCATGAAAGGAGCCTGTCCCACTCCTGCCCTTGGTGTGTTCTTCAAGGACTTCATTCCCGCAGGTAGCTGCTCGCCCACATGATCAACATCCCTTTCTGCAGGATCATCCCACAGCCTTCAGACGTCCTCCAGCACTCCCTTCTCTGACACTTTATTTATGCTACGACCCATATTGTCTCTGCCATTTCTCTGGTCTCTCTTACAGCCACTCGGGAAAGAGCTCTCTGCCCCCTATCTCAGCTCCTCTCCCTCCTCAACCTCAAACTTGCTACGGTGCCCACCTCTCCTTTAAAATTCCTGTTGCCTCCATGTTGACCACCTAATGGACATCTCTGCCTTTGCAGCAGGCAGCAGAACAGACTGTTCCTCCTTGAAATGCAGATTCCCTGAACCCTCCTGCTTTTTCCCACCTCACACACCTCATCTTTCCTGTTGCCTTTGCGTGTTTGATGCTGGGACCCCTTTTCTTCTCTATCTACATCTCCTCTTAGGTGATTTCCATGAGTTCTGTGACTTCAAATGTATCTGTATGCTCCCAAATCTACACTTCCAGTCCTGACCAAGAGATCTAGTTGCCTATTTGACATGCCCACATGGATGCCCAATAGGTGGGAGGGGCATATGATTTATCATCCAAACACTTTTAAAAGCAAAAAGCAAGTACTATCAATTAAGCTGGAATCACAGATAGGGCAGACTGGGACCCTATATTAGTATAGCATTTCAATCGGAACAATCATAACATGCTCAAAATGCAAATCTCCAATCAATCCTGAAATCTGTCCCTCACTCTGATTCCAATCTCAGTAAAACAACTTTTCTCAAGAAAAGAAACCCAGAAATTTGAATGAGCCTTACACTTCTTAAACCTTTCCTTTCCCTCATTTCCTATATACCCTATCTACAAATACTATAACATCTACCTGCAAAATATCTGAGTTCTAACCACTTTCTTCCACTTCCACAGCCAGTACCCTGCGCCAAGCCACCCACGTCTCCTGCCCACTAACCAGTCTCCCTGTTCCCATGTTTGTCTTTCTGCAGTCTGTTCTCACACAGCAGCCAAGTGAGCCTTCTAGAGCTTAAATCAGACCATGTCACCCCTCAATTGAAAGCCTTCCGTAGTGAATGAATTATTGCCATCCACAGTAACAGATGAATCTCACAAGCATGAAGCCTGATACAAGAGCGCTCAGGCTGTATGACTTCTATACAGAGTTCAAAACCAGGAAAAATGAATCTGTTATTAGAAGTCAGGAGACAGTACTGTTTCTTGATCTGGGTGCTAGTTACACAGGGGTACTTGGCTCGTGAAAAAAAATCAAGCTTGTGTACAGTTATGACTATGTCCCTTGCATGCCATATTTCAACACAAAAGTCCAACCTGTTTATTGTCTAGACCACTCTACCACCAGATTTAGGCTCTGGGGGCTAGATTTTTTCTGTTCGCTGCTGCATCCTCAGAGCTTGGTGGGCTGCTGGGCACATGGGAGACCCTTGATAAAGACATGCAGGGTGGGGGATGCAGTTAGTGGCAAGAAGAACCTAGGAGGCAACAGCAGTGACCCTTGGGAGCGATGACTAGATCTAAACCATGACTAGAGCCAAAATGGAGAGGAGACTGCTGAGAAAGATCAGAGGCAAAATTAAATTGGTGGCCTGCTGATTTACCTTTCCAGTTCCTTCTTTTTTTTTTGCCCCAAAATATTTTTTATAGCTGGTTTTTGTTTCTGTTTTTACAACTAGGATCCAATCAAAGTATTGCATTTGGTTGTAATGTCTTTTTTTTTTAAGGTATGATTGATGTACACTCCTATGAAGGTTTCACATGAAAAAACAATGTGGTTACTACATTTACACATATTATCAAGTCCCCACCCATACCCCAATGCAGTCACTGTCCATCAGTGCAGCAAGTTGCCAGAGATTCACTATGTGCCTTCTCTGTGATACACTGTTCTCCCCATGATCCCCCACACCATGTGTACTAAGCATAATACCCCTCAATCCCCTTCTCCCTCCCTCCCCACCCACCCTCCCACAACCCTCCCCTTTGGTAACCACTAGTCCCTTCTTGGAGTCTCCGAGTCTGCTGCCATTTTGTTCCTTCAGTTTTGCTTCATTGTTATACTCTAAAAATGAGGGAAACCATTTGGCATTTGTCTTTCTCTGCCTGGCTTATTTCACTGAGTATAATGTCCTCCAGCTCCATCCATGTTGTTGCAAATGGTAGGATATGTTTCTTTCTTGTGGCTGAATAGTATTCCATTGTGTATATGTACCACATCTCCTTTATCCATTCATCTACTGATGGACACTTAGGTTGCTTCCATATCTTGGCTATTGTAAACAGTGCTGCAATGAACATAGGGGTGCATATGTCTTTTTGAATCTGAGAAGTTGTATTCTTTGAGTATATTCCAAGAAGTGGGATTCTGGGGTCAAATAGTATTTCTATTCCAGTTCCTTCTTATGTCTCCCAAGATAACAAGGACAGTTTTTATAGTGGCCCTAAAGCCCTACACAGTCTGTACCTGGTTCCTCTGTGCCTGCTTCTTGTTCCTCCCCTCATTCCCTCCATGGTCTCCTGGTCTCCTGCTCATCCTGAAGCTTCTGAGCACACTCCTCTCTCAGGAACTCTGCACTCAGTATTCCTCTGCCTAGGATACTGCTCCCCAGGATTTCTGTGGTGCTTGCCCTCACCTGCTCCAAGGCTCTGCTCCGATGTCACCTTCTCCAGGAGGTCTTCCTTGCTTTCTTTCTCACCATAGCTCTTGCCACCTTCTGACATTCCATGCGTTTCACTTGTCTATTAATTTCCTGTCTCTGCACATTGCCAGTTTCCAACTGCAAGGTTCCAACCCAGGCACTTGCTCTTAACCACTGCACGTCAGGGTTGCAGGTGGCTGCTGCCATATGGACACCCTGTGCTCACAGACAAAGGTCCACCCACAAGGATGCCCAGCCCTGTGCCAAGGTATCCCCAGCTACTTCCCCCAAATCCTCAGGCTTTGACAACCTCCAGCTGGAGCCAGGTACTTTCAGCATCCTGCCCTGCGGCTAGCGGGTGCCAGCTCCTGGCAGAGGGGCCGGCATGTAATTAGAAGCTCCACAAACTCCTAATTGCCAGTTCTCCCAGACGGGGAGGCTGGTGCTATTCTGAGCTGCCCTTGTTGCTGGCTGCATGAGGCCTGCAGAGAGGAGCAGGCTGAGAGCAGAGCCAGGCTGACGTGGCGGTGGCCCTGGAGAGGGGCCTGTCATGGTGGAGAAGGGCTGACGAGTGGCCAGGGACCAAACGTGGCAGAGATGGCTTCTCGGGGCCCAGCCTGGTTCACAGTGCTGTCTGTGGCCTGCTCCCCACTTCCTCCAGTCCTCCTAGCCCCACCCATGCCCAGAACAGTGACATCAAAGCAGCCAGGCCCATTCATTCTTTATTCAGGTGGCATAAAAATCACTACAAAAACTTTACAAAAGATCCTTAGAGAGCTAATGTCCTTCCCACCCACCCTTATCCCTGCAGACACTGGGCCCAGGAGGAACAGGAGAGAGAGGAAGGAAGGGGGTCCTGGCAGTGTTGGCATCTCCAAGAACCAGCAGGAAGACTGAGGGGCAGGGCATCTGACTGTGCTAGAGGCTGGTGGGCCTGGGGCAGGTTATGGCAGAGGCAATTAAGTGGGGCACTCCACCTCCTCCCACACAGCAGGACAAGGGTGACCCACAACATCTAACCCCAGGACCGCACTCTGCCGCTCTGCCCCTGGGGCTGTCCCCAGGGTCTGACTCTCCTCTTGCAGCAAGGTACCCAGTCCCTCCTCCCTCTACCTCTCTGGTAAACAAACATTCCTACTCTCCTGAAAAAGTGGATCTACAGCTGCCCCTCCACCCAAACAAGGACACCCCCTGAGCCCCTTTGGGAGAAATGATGTGAGATCAAGGCCCACCATTGGCTGATGCCTGCCCTTCTCCTGGCCCCACTGCACCCCCAACTCCCCAAGAGGAGACAGGTAAGAATGGCTCCTCTCCCCTCCCAGACTGCCCACCCAGGCCCCTGCCCCTAATCCCATGAAGCTGTTTGGAAAGTCACATGAGTTGAGAGGCTGGTCCAGACAGGGACTCAGGATGCTGGCAGCCATGGCACCTCATTTAGGGCTGCTAGACTGGGGGTAATCCTCCTCTGAAGGAGGCTCAAGTTTCAAGTCAGGGCCAAATGGCTTGTCTCCACGGGGGAAGGCTTTATGGCTCAGGACGAAGTCCCTGTTGTCAGGGGAATCCTGCTGCTCCTTGCGCTCCCATGGTGCACCAGGGTTGGGGTTCCTCACACTGCCCACGAAGAGGGGCAGGCTTGTGGTGTCCTCAAAGATGAAGAAGAGGAAGGGGCGGTTCACACTGAAGGAGGAAAGGGACATGCGGGACATGGCTGTGCTGGTGGCCGCGGCTGCCTCAACGCCATCTTCACTGAGTTCCAAAGTGGACTGATGCTGCACGCTGGACACGACCAGGCTCTGCTCAGAGATCCCACGCAGGTCTGGGGCCAGGAACAGCTCCTGCAGGCCTGTCCAGGGCAGGAGATGGCAGGTTAGAGCTGCCTTCTGCCCCACAGGCTGCCTGGACCTGCCTGGGAGGGTGTCTGGCATCCTGGCCAGGGAACAACTTAAACCCACAGATTCCTGCTTAAATCCTATTTCACTTTCAAGTATCAGCTTAAAAGTTTCTCCAAGAAACCTTCCCTGATGCCCTGCCCAAGTCCAGACAGGTGCCTTTTCAATGTTCCCTCTGGTGAACTGGAGAGAAGCCCTCTGTCTTATTACTTAAGTGGGGTTGTAAGTATTTGCTTCCTCATCTGCCCATTAGACTGAGCTCTTGGTACATACTGGGCTCCAGTGCCTAGTACAGTGCCCATGGCAGGAGAGCCTGTGAAGCTCACACGCTGCCTCTGGCTCTCCACCTGGGATTCTTTGCAATGCACTGTCTCAGAGAGAGCAGTTGCTCATTCCCCGGGTTTACCCAGCATTCCCAGGACGGATGGTCCAGGGACTCATATCAAACCCTCTCACCTCCCTAAGGCCAGGACACAAGGCTAGCTCTGACTCCCTGACCCTGCCCAGCCTGCCCTAGGGGGCTCTCGCATGCTCAGCCTCCTTACCCAGCTGGCCGAGGGTGGCCACCAGGTCCAGATGGTATTTCAGGTGCAACTTAGGCAGCTGGACCTTGGTGGGCTTCTCCCGCAGCAAGGGCTGGTGCAGGATGTCCCAGCTCAGGTTGGCCAGCACGTGGGACATGTTCCACTCAAAGTGGGGGGGCATGATGACCACAAAGCTCATGTTGTTCTTAAAGGGGAAATGAGCCACCTACAGACAAAGCAAGAACACATGAGGACAGATCAGAGAGCACCCACACCTAAGCAGGGTCTGCCCCAGGAGGCACTTGTGAGACAGATGGACTGGGGTTTGGTCCATCCTTCCCAGCAATGTGCTCTGCCTCCCTGAGCCTCCACTTCCTCACCTGGGAAGTGGAGTTACACTACCTGCCCACATTGCAAGTTGACATGTGACTGCAGGAGATACACTGCTGAAGCTTCTAGCAGAGTGTCTGCACAGAGGCAGCACTCAACGATAGTTTCCTCTCTCTTCATCCACTACCAGCTGGCCCTGTGACTTGGGGTGAGGAATCCCATATCTGCCTCTCAGCTTCTCCATGTGCCTGGTGGACTGGGTTGTTGGTTTTCAAACTGCCCTAGGTTCTGCTGAGGTGCTGTTAAGGATGATACTCTGTCCACCCATCTCACCTTCTACAGAGACTTTGCCCAGCTATGATACACACACTGTAAGTTCGGACAAGACTTCATGTGAATGGAGTTTCTACAGCTAAAGAAATGTGAAAACCACTGGGCTCCAGGTCCCTGGCAGCTGTAACTCCTTGGGCTCTAGGCAGAATGCCCAGGCAGCAGGGCCCCCAACGAGTGCCAGCATCTGGCTTCCTGGGCCTGCCTCCTGGGTGCCTGAGGAAGAGGTGGGCCAGGGAGGGAAAAGGATGGAGAAAAAAGGATGATGGAGGAGTGGGTGAGACACGGCCTGGAGGGAAGCAACATCAGGAAGGGAACTGGTGGGGAGGTGAACCCGATGGTCTGCCTGTTGGTGAACTGGGTAGAGACTGGAACGCTGCTGCAACGGCCCTCTCAGGAGGGTTGCAGAATGGCTGTGGTCTGTGTCATGCTGGCCTTAGGAACTTAACCAACACTGCCACAGCTAACTGGCCCAGGGATCAGTGTTCAAGTCAAGGGGACCACACTGAGGCTAGAAGCAAGGGAGGCTGCACCTGAGGTAGCTTGGCGTGGCCCTCTATCCAATCAGAATGTTCCATCAGGACGCTGACAAATCCACCCATCAGGTCCTGCCTTCTAAGGAGCGCTATGTGAGATCCCAGGTCACACCTCCCCGCCTTGGAGATGCTGAGGCCCTCCAGGGGCCATCCAGATGGTCCCTAGGCTGCCCCATAATGCACAGGTCTTGTAATAAACTGCCATAACCAAAGATCTCCTGGGCCTGAAGTCAATGTCCCTCCTCAAAAGAATGCTCCCTGACCACTCTACCTAAAACACCTTCCCCAATCACTAGTAAATCATTTATTTTTTTTCCTTCATAGGACTTATCTATCTGAAATTATCCTGCTGATTTATGGTTGCTCATGTACCTTGTATCTTCCCTCCTAAGAGTATGGATCTGGTCTCCCTTATACTCCACTAAATTCCCAGCAACTGGAACAAGGTCTGGCATACAGCTAAAGCCCAATATAGTTTTGTTGAATGAGTGAACCTCAAAAAGCCTGGAGTCTCAGTTCCCCTGAATAGGGGCAGGGTGAGACCTCCAGAGTCCCCTGCCCCAGGGACATGACTGCCAGGAGAGTGGGGCACACCCCACCCCTGTGCCTGTCCACAGCCTCTCTCTTCCCCACCTCTCGACACCAAGGCCCAGCCCGGCAACCAAGGGTGACCTGTATCTCAGGCTGCTCCAGCAGAAACCAGCGCAGTGGGTAGGTGCGGGCGTGCATCATGTCCACCGGCACCGTGAAGTGCTGGTCCAGGTGGAAGGTGTCTCTCCTGGTGAGGCTTGGGTCAAACTTGCTTTTCCAGAAACCTGCATCCAGCAGAGGGCAGGGACCACATAGACTGGAACAAGGGTGGGTTCTATACCACCAGCCTCTTCTCCCTCCCACCCAGAACCCATTCAAGGGACAACAGGTAGAGGCTGAGACCCCAGGAGGTGCTGTGCCCACTGATACCCGGTTGATCTGAGGTGTCTTTCCTGCAGTGTTTTGGAAAGCCAGGCTTGCCTTCTCCCCTTGCCCTGCCATACTCCCAGGAGCCTCTCCCTGGGTCTCTTTTTTTTTTTAAACTCGTCTTCCTCCCAGGGGAAACTCTCTCCACTGCAGCCCATCCAGTTCCTCTCAGCCAGTAATCTGACACCTCCCTGCCCCCAAGTACAATCCGGAGAGCTCCCTGCCTCCTGGCCCACCCTGAGGAGGAAGGGGGACCTCAGAACAAAGCCTGCACACCCCAGCTCAGCCTGTAGGGTGGGCGTAGGGCTGCCTGCAAGGGGCCTGTGAGGAGGAGGAGTGTACCCTGGAAATGGATGGCATTGAGGAGAAGCAGCACTGTGTCATCTGGCAGCTCTGAGAGGAAATTTTCAATCTTCCCTTCCGTGGCCTCCTTCACCCATTGGTTGATATTTGCTAGGTCCTCCTCCTTCTTTCCCGTTAGGCTTCTGGGCTTTGCGCCAAAGAGTTGTTCTGATTGTTCCAGGAAGTCCTCTTTGAGGGGAAATCCTACACAGAAGGGGCCACAAGCTGTTCCTGGAGCTTGGGTTCCAGAGCCACCAGTGCTCCTACTGGTTCCCTGAGGCCAAGCCCATCTCCCTCAGCCCTGTCCACCGCAGGGCACTACCTAGTGAGCCCCCTGCTGCCAGCACCCACCTTTCTGCAGGTACATTCTGGCAGCCATTCGGAACACCCCAGGGCCCAGGTCCCGGCAGAGGTGGCTCAGCAGGTGGGGGAGGCAGGGCCCTGAGTCTGCATGCAGCACGTGCAGTAACCTCTGCAGGGTTTGGTTCCCAGCACCTGGAGGGGACGCGTCGGTGTGGCCCAGGCTGAGGGTCCTTCCCCACCCCCACTGCTCACTCCAGTCCTCCCTGGCTAGCCATGGTGAGCACGCCCACACAACCACACATTCTCCACTGAACTGGTCTGAGTGACAAGGACTCCCAAGTTCTACTTTCATCTCTGCTGCTGGCAGCCTGGACGACCTCAACCCCTGGACCTCAGTTTTCCACAATGAGACTCTCCAGTCCAATGCAGGCATGGTAGCTCTCAAACTCCTGCATAAAAATCACCGGAAGCATAGCCCAGGCCCAGGGAATTTGATTCACCAAGACTGCAGGTGTGCCCAGGAATATACATTTTTATCAACTGTCCAAGTGACCCTGATGTAGGAAACACCCACTGGTAAACTCTGGGGGAGGGAGTTCCTGCTGGCCTCCCCATTCTGTTGGTCTAGCCAGGTGCTGTTACAGTACCTAGTGCCAGGTGGGACAATGCCAGGGCCACACTCAGTGGTGACAGGATGAGGTTGGGGCTGGTGGACCTTTGGGCCACCAGGGAGAAAAGGTCTGTGGTGAAGGCCATCATGGCCTGGGCCAGCCTGCGGGTCTGCTCTGGGGTTGGGGCCCCCTTGCAGTCTCTTGGAGCCTTTTTCAGGGAAGCCTGGCCACCAGACTCCTGTAGGGACACATCGGTGCTCAGTGGGGCCAGGGCGTCAGCGCCAGGTTCTGTGCTGAAGAACTCCTTCAGAGCCCCTGTGCCTGGGGACAGCAGGGTCTTGTCCCAGTCCTGACAGGAGGAGAGTCACACGGGCAGGGTTAACTCCGGACGGAGCCGCTCTCCCTGGCCCCTCCCACCCTCTCCCGTCCGGCCTCAGCCTCGCAGCCACGCCCCCAGCTTCCCGGCCCCTGCTGATTAGCCTGCCTCCCTCAGACCCCGCCCTCTCTTCCCCAGCCCCACCTGGTTGTACCTGGTTGCCCAGCTTGAGGAAGGTAAGTGGCGACAGCTTCTCCTGGGTCTGCCCACCTGTTAGCTGGAAAAAGCAGAAAACAAACGGAGCTTGACCTTTTCCATAGGTCCCCTGCCCTGTGGCCCCTGCACAAGCCACAGGCAAGGCCCTCCTCCCCATCAGGCCTCTCAACCCCGGTACCTGCTGGCCCACGGGCTCCATCGCGCTCACAGGAGAGAACTGTTGAGAGAGAGATGAGGAGGGCGAACCCTTCAGCGCCAAACACTCCTTCAACCCAGTCCGCCAGGATCCCTGGCCTCCCCCACCGGCCTCCTCACCCCTCCCGGACCACAGCCCAGGCTCACCACCCAGCAGGGGCCTTGCAGGCAGGACAAGCTGAGCACCAGGAGCCCCTGGAGCAGTGCCATGTTCCTGTGAGGGACAGAAAGCCTCAGTTGCCACCTTGCCCCCACGCCTGCCATGGAATCTCACCCACACAATTCACTGGCTCAAGTCCATCATTCCCACTGATGGAACACTACGAGCTCCCACACACATTGTCATTAGCTGTGGGGCTCTCTCTGAGGGGTGGGACTTCTCCGCTGAATTGTTTTCCCCCTTTGTGTTTTTGGTTTTTCACATTTCATCCACTGAATGTTTTGGTTCGTGGGGGAAAATAGCATCAAAACAAAAAGTTCTCATTCTTCAAGGCCTGGCATGAGTCAGACCTGGGTTTGCATCTAGGCTTTGTCTCTTGCCAGAGGACCTTCGACATCCCCCTTAACTTCTCTACCTTATCTTGTAAAATGGTAGTAGGTCTGTAACTCCTCCCACATGCATTGCGAGGACTAAAATACAACAGTCTTTTTGAGCCCTAAGGACAATACTCTGCTTTCAGTAATGGTTATTGTCAGCCTAGCCCAAGGCCTCTCTTCTGGGAGGCCTTCCCTGAAGCCTTCTCCTTATTGAGGCTCCCTCCCCAGAGCTCCTCTCCAACCTGCTCTCCATCAGCGCACCTGTTCTGTCTGGTCTGGTCTTGCCCACAGGCTGGACAGGGCTGTGAGGCCCTGAGGTCTCAGCAGGGGTGGTGCAGCCGCAGGAGAGCCGCCTTGTTGACCCAGCAGCAGAGCTCAATGAATGACTCTGGCCAGAGCCACCTTTGAACTTACGGGAAGCACAGGCCTTGCCCCCCACTCTGCCCCAGGCAGGCTCCGGGAAGCCAGGTTGGAGGGTGGGAATGGGCAGGTCTTGGTCTGGCCTTGGAGTAGGTGTCACACCCCCTACCCCACCCCAAACTCAGGGCCAGTCCTTCTGCAAGACCCTTCTATCACCTGGCCCCACCCCCATCACCACAAGGACCCTTGGCCAGACCCTCATCTCCAACCCCGCTTTTTGAGTCTTCCTGGCAAGGAAAGGAAGCTTCCTCCTGTTCTTCCCCCTTTGTTTTTCAAATCCTAGAGAGATTTCCCTGGAACTCCCACCTTGGCCCATCAGCCCATGAGGCTGAGAAACAAAGGGTCTCCTAAGGAAATTCAGCCTAGAGCCCCTCGGCCAGGTGGGCAGCTCCTAACCTCTTCTGCTGGCTGAGGAGCAGGCAGAGCCACCCCCGGCCCTCGTACCTCTGCATGCTCCTCACTGCTGCACACGATGTCCCTCTGGCCCCACTCGGGTGCTCCCCACGCTCTGCCCAGGCTCCAGCAGGACCAGAGGAGCCCTCCTCTCCCACCAGGACCTTTGCTCTCAGCCAACCCCTGTAGAGATTGCTTTCTCTTCTGGTAAATATTGACCTGCACATCCGGTTAAACATTGATGGTGGTGCAGGAAGCCCCTGTCCCACCAGGGCATCTAATTTTCAAAGTCACCTGGAGTCCCTGTGGATTTGGGTCCCACCTGAGCCTGGAGAAGGGAGGTCAGGGGATAGTTGAGTAGTCTGCTTCACCTGGAAGGCAGATCCAGGAAGGACAAGGACTTTCCAGCAACCCCATCCCAGCTATAGTCAGGCTCAGAGAGGCAAAGTGACCTGCTTAAGGACATAGAGCTGAGCTCAGAGCTACATCCAGGTTTCCACTGCTAATGTCCTTTCCTTTCCCCCATTCTGAGGGGAGTGAAGGGAAAGCTGCAGGAGCCTATGCAGGGAACCTAGGATAGGATGCCCATCCCCAGTCCTGACAAGCCTAGGATCCTGGTTGGCTACCTTTCAGCCTTAGTCTGGAAGCAGGGGGTGGGATGAGGAGATAATGAGGGACACAGCCTCTCCTGGCATCCTACCTTCTCAGAAGCAATAATTCCTTACCCTCCCCAAAGGTGAGGGTTCCAGAAAACTGGCAATTGCATGAACCAGAAGCCCTATACTGTACCACCTCTACTGTACCAATTTACTCAGGCTTCCCCCTGCCTCCTGCCCTACTCCCTAAGCTGGATGTCAACTTTTTCCCACCCAGACACCACCATCCAGAAAAGTCTCACCCAGTTCCATAGCTCTTCCAAAGGATTTATTGGTCATATTTACATCTATTGCAAACAGTGAGGAGGCAGCAGGGGCCCAGCAGACCTCATCTCTGCTCCAGAATGTGAGGACCAGGGATGCCTGGGTCTTCCTGTCCCCTGGGAGGGACCTGAGATGAAGAGATGATTGCTCTCACCCCATCTCTCAGGGTCTTGGACCACCCCTAGGGGGTCTGAGCCCAGGGGCTACCTCCTCAGCTCAAGGCACAAACACTGTGGTTAGGGGTGGGCGGGCAAGGCATGGAGTCACTCCTGGCAGGCACCAGTTGGCCCAGTCCATCTTCCCTCCCCTGGTCCTGCTCTCTTTCTTCTCCTACTTCCCATACTGGGCAGGGGCTGGCTGGGTGGACACTTAAATCCCAGCTCAAGGCCCGCAACTCCTGGACCACAGTCAGCCCTCCTTAGAGGCTGGAGCCCAAGCACCATCAGTGTCCTGGACTGGTGTAGCTTCTCCGCCCTTGTGGAGGAGGCACAGAGTAAGGCTGGGCTGGGGGGCTACTTGGCTGGAGCCTGGCTGTATAGGATCCCTTCCCCTTCCCGGGCCTTCCCTGTCGCCACCTGGACCTAGAGGGCAGAACTGGGGAGCAGCATCTCCCCAAGCCATGGACGAGATGCCTTCTGGCAGCCTGGACCCCTGCCCCACCCTAGCTGGCAGGCCACGTGGGTACACGGGGTGTGGGGCCTGAGGCTCACTGGGAGGGACCTGCTGGGGAAACAAGGATGCAGGGATAGATTCCCAGGGGGATGTTTGCCCACCCTTGCCAGTCGGCCCCTGCCCCAGCCTACGCCAGGAGGCGGATGACCCCATTGTCTGAGCCCAGCAGGAGGTGGCGTTTGGTGGGCAGCAAGGCCAGGCTGGTGAGCGTGCCACGGAAGTTCTCAGAGCTGAGTTTGGTGGTGGCCTGGGAGGGTGGCTCAAGCAGGGAACAGACGCCAATCTTGTTGGCCACGGTGCCGGTGACCACCTCGCTGCCGTATAGGTCAAAGGTGTGGATCGGGTCGGATGGTGACTTGTAGTGGTGTGTGGGCTTCTGCTCCAGCTCCTTCCAGATGGTCAGGGAGTGGTCAGAGGAGGAGCTGACCAGGATGCTGCCCTCCACCGCCTGCCCAGGGAGAGGAGAGCCTCAGCCTGGGCCCTCCTGTGTGCCCACCAAGCTCCTGGGTCCTCCCATTTCCTCCCACAGTATCTTCCAGGAAGACAGGGTATCCAGAGCGGGGGACAAGCTGCCACCCTCCTACCACATTAATGTTAGTATGAATATCTGAAATGTCATTAAGCTAGTCATCACTATAATTTGAGTACTTACTATGTCCAAACATTATGTCAGGCAAGCTGTATTACCAGGGTTAATCTTCCTAATAACCCTATGACGCAGATGCCGTCATTGTTCCCATTTTCCAGAGAAAAAAAACTTGAGGCTCAGAAAAGTTTAGCAATCATATCAAGGTCACAGAGCCAGTGATATTGCCAGGGTTAACACCCAGGCTGACCCCAGAGCCCTCCTGATGCTTTCTTGGAAAGTCAGAATTTAGAGGCACCTGGAGCCGGGGTCTCCTAGGGCCCTTAATGGAGCTGGGCAGCCTGCCCTCAGCAGTGCAGTGCCTGTCCCCTGGCACCACGTAGGACGGGGAGGGAGTCCCAGTTGTCTGGGGTAAAAAACCCTGGGAATCCCAGCTACCTTGTTCCTCCCATCCTGCACCTCCCTAAGCAGATCTGTGAGGTCTGTGATTGAGAATGCGACAGGGGTGGGGGGATCCCATGTGTGGCCTGTCCCTGCCCCCACCAGGGCAGCCTAGCAGGGGGCATGGACTCTGCTCGGTGGTCTGGGAGCAGTAAACAGCCTCCCAGCTGAGCTTTATTTAACCTGAGCTGGGTCACGGACAGGGCCTGACCCCTGATCCTCCAAGCAAGACAAATATGGACAAGGGTTACTCATTAGAACATCTCCAGGGGGCAGCAAGGGCAGCTCGGCCCTCTGGTCCCTCCCCCGTGGCCTGCCTGCCACCGAGGCGCCCACAGTGTGCTGGCTCCTGACCTGTGCTGCCCATCAGTTGCCGGGCAGGTGTAAGTGAGAGCAGCTTAGTGTGAGCCTGTCCTGGGTGGACCCCAAGAGGGCCTGGAGCAGGGACTGGGCTGGGCAGTGAGGAAGGGAAGTGGGCCTGTCACCTTGATCTGTAGGATGTCCCCTTCATGGGCCGGCCAGCCACGAAGAATCAGGCCTGTACGGGTGTCCAGGAGAACCATGAAGCCCGAGGAGAAGCCAGCCACGACACTACGGCCACTGGGGCTGACGGCCAGGGAGCGGACAAGCCCAGGGTTCAGCCCACCACCCAGGCGGAACTCGTGCTGCAGGCAGAGGGAGACAAGCTGAGGGGCCGCCATCCACTCCGTCCTCAGCCCTGCTCACCCCGAGTCCACACAGCTGGAAGGCCCGAGCCTCGGTCCCCCGTCAGAGGGAGGGTGCCCTTTCATCCCAGGCTGGAGTCCTACCCCCAGTGGTGCTATGGATGATCTGTCTCCAAAGAGAAGCTATGCCCTGGCCACCTCTCTTAGGGGTCTCCCTTCCTGCTGGGCACCCAGGCCAAGGCTCAGGGAACTGGACGCCCCTGACCTGCAGGCCAGGCTTCCTACAGTCCACAAAGCGCAGGGTTGAGTCAGAGCTGGCCATGGTGACACTGGTGTGGGGGGCAGGCATGACAGCCACAGCGGTCAGGGGCACCCGGCTGTCTGATGGCTCCACCATACGAATGGTCTTCCCTGGAAAGGAAGGGCACAGTGGATCTGGGGTCCCAGCAGCTGAGTTCCTGACTCCTTCTACACCCACACCCCCACCCCCAACTGACCCCATTCCTGCCTCCCACATTCCAGAGGATATCAGGAAATGCAAATGATGTTTCTTGACCCTCCCTCCTTCCTGCTTCCATGACCAGGTTCCTGTCCCCAAAGCAACCTCTTCTCTTCACACAGCACCCCAACTGAATGCTACCTCCCTCCATCTACCTCAATGTTACTACATCCTCTTCTCCCTCTTAACCTTATTTCTCCCTAATATGATGCCAAACAATAATTGAGCAGCCATTTGCCAAATACATGCTACATGCTACGTGATAGGTCAAACCCCTACATGTATTATCTTCTAAGCCAGTTTTGAGTGCCATTTTACAGGTGGGAAAACTAATGCTTCCAGCAGTGAGGCCACTCAGGTCTCCCAGGTTCCAAGCCCTAACAGCTCCTCGATGTGGCCACATTGGTCACCCTAATCCATATGTCATCACCCTAACCTCCCCATCCTTGGACCCCATTCCCGGAGGCCTGGCAGGACACAGGATGGCAGCAAAAGAATTAGGCCTCACCTGGGCCCGCTCACCTGTGAAGGGGTCCCAGATGTGCACAGCCCCATCGCAGCTCACCACACACTGCGGGGCCTCGAGCTGGCCCACAAAGAAGACACTTTTGCGGTGCTGGGCATAGATGAGGCGTGGGGCTGTCTCACTGGTGCCATCCCCATAGTTGTAGAGTGGCCAGAGACGCACGGTGCGGTCCTTGCTGCCACTCAGGAAGAAGTCCTCATTGCTCAGGGGTGCCACACACTTGACAGCCCCCGAGTGGCCCGGGAAACTCTGCAAGCGGATTTGGTGGAAGTGAAAGTGGGCGTCCTGCTGGT